TGTTCGGTTCTTGTTTATTTCTCCATCTTATTCTAATTACTTTTGGCGCTTTTTTTTTAATTTATCCTATGCTACTGCAACGCCACCTTTATTGGACGTGTTTTTACGGACACTTATTCTTATACAGAGATGGTCTTCCATACTCCACGAGTACAGTCAACAAATTCTCCGATTCTTCATAAGACTTAAGTTGAAGCCATTTTCTGAGGACAATGTTGCATTGTTGCCTAATATGAACAAGTTTGTTTACTTTATTACATAAATATGGGCCAAGAAAGTAAAAATATTTTTTATGAATTTTGTGTTGGGTTTAAAACTGGACTTTATCACAACGTCTTTACGACGTTTACATTTGATTTTGTCTGGGTCATAATTTATAGACTGATGCTGTTTTTTTAATAACATTTAGGACCAATAGTTAGCGAACAGTTAATACTTGACAGTTATTGTAGAGTAATATTGTAGGATATTGAAATTAAATTAACTGTGTAAAAATTAAAAGTGGAAGAGCTCTTTGAGCCCTTTCTAAAGAAACATTGTGCGTTTTTAGAGCCCCACCCCAACAAGAAATGCAATAAATTAACAAAGATTCACACAAATCAAGATACACCTGTTTCAGAAGACATGGTTGCACTACATGTCTTAGATTTTTTAAAACATATAAGTTTGCGGACACGATATTTTTAGATTTTGAATATGGTGTTCAAGTTTACCAAAAAGAGCGATAACGTCTTAGATCCCAATCAAAAAGCACTAAATCGGTATCAGTATAACACAGGCCAATGTAATTGTATTATTATTTTTATTATTATGTAATTGTATATTGTATTAAATGGAAGGTATCGAAGTCCGCGGAAAAAAACAAAAGTTGTAAGGGTATAAGAAAATCCAAAATCGCATAGTACAATACGTAGCAAGAGCGTTTTTTTTTTACGTGGTAGAGCCATGCTGCAGCTATATTATAGTTGTAGCGTGAATGGATCGGCTCGACCGGGGCAGGACGATGCTCTCACAGAATACCAGCGTAAAATAGCAGTTTAACACTGCTTCAGCAGTGATATATATATCACGTATCACATAAACACGTGTTTCCTTTTCTTAGTATGAAGTTTTCTTCTCTTGGTCCGAGAGCTCATGACGCATTTTTCATGAAGTGTTTGATGCATCATCAAACTTTGTTTAAAGGTATCAGTCGACTCAATAAGCAGGTATATGACTGTCTGCCTGGCCTACCTGGGTACACCTGGTACTGCGCATACAGGTAAGTCGCAAAAAAATTTTCCCAAAAAAAAGTGTTTCATTCAAATAATAATAATGACAGCTAAGTTTATAAACAATTAAGAAAATAAATGGCAGACACTTCTGAAGGGGTTTACATAGGGACAGACTACCCCAAAGTAATATTTTCAAAATTCCAAAAAAGTGTTTGATTCAGTCTGCCATTTTACAGCGTGCTTTTTATATATAATAAAAAATTCTCACAAAAGGGCAGACAGTTTCTCCGGGGGTTACTAATTTAAAAATCTATACAAAAAAATAAAATTTAAGTGTCTGTTTTAATGTCAAAATAACAATTTTTTACTAAACGCATATGATTTTATTTACGATATTTATAAAAACACAATTTTTAAAATTTTTGTCCATCTGTCTGTCTGTTTGTTCCGGCTAATCTCCGAAATGGCTCGACCGATTTTGACGGGACTTTCACTGGCAAATAGTTGATGTTATAACAAGTATTTTAGGCTACTTTTATTTTAGAAAAATTATTAGGGTTCCGCGCAAAAAAAAACCTAAATTACACGCGGGCGAAGTCGCGGGGAACAGCTAGTGTTTAAATAAATCTTGCGTGGACAGGAGACAAATGTGTTACGGGTTGTAATGAGTGCGACAGAGAGCGACGGTCGCCGATATGTGAAAAAAGTGTTTGATTCAAATAATAGTAATGACTATCCGTCAGCTATGTTGGTAAAGAATTAAGAAAAAAATGGCAGACACTTTTGAAGGGGTTGACATAGGGGTAAACTACCCCAAAATTATATTTTCAAAAATTCCAACAACAGTGTATTATTTAATCTGCCATTTTTACAGCGTGTTTATTATGTACATATAATAAAAAAATATCACAAAAGGGCAGACAGTTCCTCCGAGGGTTAATAGTTAAAAAATTATTAAATAAATCTTGCGAGGAAAGCAGACACATGTGCCACGGGTCGTAATGGGTGCTACAGAGGGCGACGGCCGCCGATATGTCTTTAATCATTCTTCGCGCTCCCATTGCGGATCACGTGATCTTGTACAGTTGTTACAACTAACATACTCAAATGTACAACAATAATTACAGCTAATGGAGATTTTTTATTAGTTAGTTACAATAAAAAAAATTCTGACAAAATAAATCCATAGCAAATATATAGATAAATACATATATTTTGTTAGTTTTCGCTTAACTATCACTGAAATCTGACTCTTCAGCATCGGTTGATTCGTAACTTTCAAACAAGTCTTCACTTTGACGAGAAATCAATTCATCATCTGTAAAAAAAATCATTTAAAAATGACAATCAATAAAATAAAATAAAAAAAAATTTTCAAAATACTGACCAGTTCTGTTGGAAGTGTTATTTTCCGAAGTTTTGATAGCATCTAATACGGTTTCAGGTCACTTCAATCACCTTCAAACCACTTAAATTTATACGTTTCATTTTTTAATATCCATCCATTACCAGCTGGTACCAAATTAGTTGGATTAACCAAGTGAGCATTGCGCCACACACTGGTGATGTATTACGTACGCAAAGGATGCTCGTGTAATTCTGACTTACACGGCGGTAAGTTTGAGGCATCATATCTTTGAATACATTTTTGGAATGGTTCGTTCGTATTTTTCGATTTATAAGTAGAGCAAAACTTTTGAAACCGACTATTATTAACATCCGTACAGTTTTTATAACCATAAAGCTCACAGATAAATTTTTCCAGTATTGTAAATGATTCATATTGGAGTACAGGTACATCGTCATTTGCAAGGTCCGTCAGGGCCTTTTGATAACCCGCATGGTTTTTAATAATTTGAAATGGTCTTTTTTTACTCTTTTTAAAGAATGCAGGATTATAGTCGCATCTTGTTACATCGTGAAATCGTGGCAAACTTGTACAAAGAGTTGTCCCTAATCCAATATATAATTGAGTAATATTAATGACTCGTTTCTTGTTTGCAGCTCCATATTCCATATAAATATTTATGTCATCACTTTTTAAATGGTCCATATTTCCTAGCATAATCATTAATACATATGTATCACATGATTTGATAAGTATATTGGCAGCAGAATCCGATTCCAATTGACAAATATGATAATAATTATAATTCTTTTAAGATTTATTTAAATACTAGCTGTTCCCCGCGACTTCACCCACGTGTAATTTAGGGTTTTATTATTTTTGCGCGGAACCCTAATATTTTTCTAAAATAAAAGTAACCTAAAATACTCGTTATAACATCAACTATCTGCAGGTGAAAGTCCCGTCAAAATGGGTCGAGCCATTTCGGAGATTAGCCGGAACAAACAGACAGACAGACAGACAAAAATTTTAAAAATTGTGTTTTTGCTATAATTATCGTATATAATATCATATGCGTTTAGTAAAAAATTGTTATTTTGACATTAAAAACAGACACTTAAATTTTATTTCTTTGTATAGATTTTTAAATTAGTAACCCCCGGAGAAACTGTCTGCTTTTTTGTGAGATTGTTTTATTATATATAATAAACACGCTGTAAAAATGGCAGACTGAATCAAACACTTTTTTGGAATTTTTGAAAATTTAACTTTGGGGTAGTCTGCCCCTATGTAAACCCCTTCAGAAGTGTCTGCCATTTTTTTTTCTAAATTGTTTATAAACTTAGCTGACGGATAGTCATTATTATTATTTGAATGAAACACTTTTTTTTTTGGGAAATTTTTTTTGCAACTTACCTGTATGCGCCATACCAGGTGTACCCAGGTAGGCCAGGCAGACAATCATATACCTGCTTATTGAGTCGACTGATACCTCTAAACAAAGTTTCATGATGCATCAAACACTTCATGAAAAATGCGTTATGAGCTCTCGGATCATCTCGGTAGAGTAAATGTGTTGTGACTAAGGAAGTCCCGCAACTTAAACATAGTCATTATACATTCTTTCTTGACAATTAACAATTTTGGTTTTTAACTTTTTGCACTTAATAATATATTTTATGAATTTTTAATGATGGTACAATTATATACAAGCAAGGTGCAGTGTCTCCATATTCCAAAAAGCACCCAATTCTAATTATTTGAAGTTATATCGATATTATAATGTGAGCATCTTTCCCTATTTTTTTATTTATAAACTACATGGGTGCAACAAAGATGTAGTGTGCAATTTAAGTAATTAATTATTTTGAAATGTGCTATTTAAATTACATATGTTTGTGAGTATTTTTTATTTTATATATTCTCCAAATTCACAGGCTTTGGTAGGGGGGTCAAACGAACGACTGCAAAACGTCACACAAATGACTATTACTACTAGTGCTATTTAAAACACGTCTGCCAGTATTTTATTTGTATATATATACTTAATTATTTAAGAACTTCTATTTATGCAATCTATTTAAGCAATGTCGAATGAAATCCCCACCCTCGACAAACGAAAGCATTAAGTCAGTATGTGCAAGTGGTAAGCAATACTCTCAAAATTTAAATACTACAAGAAAAATGTATTTACTACTCCATAATCCATATTACTTTGGTTCACATTCTAAAAGAAAAATAATGTTTTATCATGTCTAATCACTGATCACTTTTTAATATTTAATTCTTATATGCTCATTAGTAGTGTTATTCAATTTCAAATAATATCAAAATCATAGAATTGTTGATCTTTTTTTTTACTGATTTAATTTAGTTGACAAATCTTTAAATATATTCCAATAAAAGATTCAGGAGTGAAGCCACACTTAAAATATTTCTTACACTTTTTTATTATAAACTGCCTTTAAGTGTTCGCTCATTGGTGTATCATCAGTCTTCATAAACAAAACTATCTCTAAAGTGTCTGGAGACAATAGCCTTATCTCTCGTTTGAAGCTTTGGACATGAGGTGGTTTGGCAAAAGATGTTCTAGCAACATTAACAGTTTGTAGTTTTATTTCTTTCTTGTCAGCATCAAAATGACCCTCCTCAATGGTGGAAAGTCCAAAATTATGACTCACAATGAAAGCCAGTTGATTGGTTCCAGGGTTTATTCGTAAGAAGCCTCTCTCTTGGTGCATTGGAGTCCCAGTTTCTGGGTGCCGTGACGTAGATATGTAGTTAAACATTGGTTGACCTGGAATGATACGATTTTTATTTCTTTTTTCCTTTTTTTATTATCGGCACTCGGGTATGGTGAACAAAAAGCCACTACTATAAAGAAGCTTCAGCGATACCAGAGACTGGTATGTATGGCTGCCACAATCTATACAAGTACCACACCAACAGCAATCTTAGAGGCTTTGGTCCAGCTAACCCCGCATCACCTAAACATAGACATTACATCACCTACAAAACAAGAAGCGACTTTAGCTGCCTTTAGACTCAAGACCTTATATCTTTGAAGAGTACAGCTCCTCATACAGGTTTTATCAATACATTTTAAACCAAAATTCCTATCCTACAACCGAAACCCTTGTTTCATCTGTAAAATCAATAATGTGAAATGGCTCAAATAATTGTGATATTTCTGCCCATATTCGATACTCACTTAGCCTATCAACCATCCACGGTGACTACAGTCCCAAAAAAATTATTGCCTCACCTGCGCATGGTGACTACAGTCACCAAACGACATCTTTCGGTTTAAACATGTACAGCACTAAAGATGACTGTTAATAATACAGTAGAAAATAATAGATGGTGCTATATTAAATTTGTCATCCTTGAGAGTGAATTTTATTTCTGCAATGGCAACAAGGTATTTAGAAAAAAAAATGTGAAAGTGGCTGTTTGCCATTTTTGTTTGTGAACTGTTTTGTTTGTGAAAAAGTATGTGAAGCTCAATAAGATATGTGGTAAGTTTTCTGTTTTATACATTATTTCTAATGTTATTGTACATCAAATTAATTGTGAAGATATTTCCTTTAAGAAATGTGTATCATTACAACAATTCCAAAACGTTTAAATCTAATAATTTAGCTCGAAATTATAATCATTATACGCCATCATTGTTTATTGATCATATGTTGTTTAAAATGTATTCTAATCAGTTTTTTGTATTAAATGAATGCTCAATATAAAAGAATAATTCACTATTAACACGTAGATAGCCATTTATAAACAAAATATCTGTTGAGATATGTCTAGAAATTATTAAAACTTATTTTTGTTTATTTATTTATTAAAATTTATATTGTGTAAATATTATATATTTATCTATATTGAGTATTTAAAATATTTTTGATATTGGTGTCAATGTAAAGGGAATATCATGTACTATTATAATATAAAATAATTGTCTCCAGTAAATATTATACTTTTCTTGTATAACTCGAAATAAAAAATAAATATGATTTTTGTTTTGATATGCCCATATTTAACTTTTATTTTCATCCTTTATTTTTAATTTAACCAATTTTCTTTTAACAAAATTAAATTTTAAATTCTTTAAGCTTTTTGAGAATATTTTTATTTGAATGTAGGTATGGGTAAATCCACGGTAACTTGCGTTACATTTGGAACTGTTCATCGGCAAACAAACCTCTTTTATGTCATTGTTAAAAGTTATCTAATTTACTTTGTCTGTACATTAGAGACTACATTGTGAACTCATTCTATTTAATTTAATATTACTGGAAATCACACCATAGCTTCGAACCAGCACTCTACGACATTCTGGTAACTTGCGTTATATAAAAAGGACATGACGTTTTGAGACTTGAGTTTAATCGAATATTTCTCTGAGTTTTTTAACTTAAAATTAAAATAAAAAAATTAAAGTCGATTAAGTCAGGAGTCAAAGTATTTTAATCAACAAATAGTAATTTTATTTTATTACAGATAATAAAAAAAAAATAGAAAACAACGGTAACTTGCGTTACATGAAAATAGTAACTTGTGTTACTTCCAACTTGAACTTTATGAATGCTTGTTTTTCCATTCGGATAAGGGAAGGTTATCATCGTCATTCCATGAATCGTTAGCCCCAGCATTTTCTTCGATTTTCTCATAAAAATCTTTTGATATTAGACTTTTTTGGAGCATATTATTTTTCCAGAACATGATGTGACACTTAGCTATTCCAGGAACGCCAGGAGCCTTTGCAAAACTTTCTTCCAATTGTAGAAGTCGTGCTCGTTCTTCAATTTCCTCTGTTGAAACCACAATCACTTTCACAGTTGAATCTTTTGCTGCTATTGCAAACTGCTCGGCATTTAACACAATTGATTTTCTTTTTAAGACTTTGCTCCTTACCGTCCTTTTCAATGCTCCTCCAATTCCATCAACCGGGCCTTTACCATGCGATGTAGCAAAGTAGTTCCACATCAGGTGCAGGCTATGCTTTTCTTCGAGATTTTTAATACATTCGGCGACGTATTTGTTTTTAAATTGGAAGCTGGGCCGTCCGACCACAAATGCACTTTTTTGACCTTTGCTGGTAAATCTTCCAGTACTCGGTCGATGTAAACAATAGCTGTCTTTTTATCATGACGACGATCATTAGAAACCAGTACAATCGGATGTTGTTCACCTGACATCCACAGCGAGACTGTAAATAAAGTTACTTGAGGTTGCACCCAGTGAAAACTTTGCACTTCGTCCTGGGCCAGGCATGTGTAATTTTCAGAATAGTCCACCTGAATCAGGACCGTGTCCGAATCAGTTCTGTTGAAGAGTTCAATCTTGTGTTTTTGGTAGGAGGAGGCTTGATTCCGTTTGATGTAAGTATGCTCAAAGAACTTAGGAGCCATGTCGACTATCTTCTGGATCAGTTCAGTTGCTATGCCTTTTACCTGAATTTTACTTAGTTTGCCATTGCAATCTGCCCACACAAACCAGTTAGTCTCGACGTCAGCGCCCACATTTTCGCAACTGTCCAAATATTCGTCCAGTTTGTTTTCTAACAAGTCCGTGCAGAGGTTACAGTCTTTCAACCAACATGCTGTTGTTGGAGCTGTGCAAACAAAGCCACTGAGAAAATTGTGATCGTAACGTGGGCTTCCTATCAGGTCATGTAATGCATTCACAGCCAGCGAGAAATTTTCGTGGTATTTGCATAAGCAAACATTATGTGGCAATTTGCTGGACAGGTAAACATGCTTTGGCCGTAGCTCAGCAAACTTGCTTCGTCCCACAATATTCCCAAACTCTTGAACAAATAGTGAATGGGTTTCAGTCACTGATGAAAATAAATGCCGGATCTGCATTTTTTCCTTCTCTCCTCTTTCATTGCGAACTGTGACATAATCTTTTAAGCCAGGTGCTTGGCGGCTTATATCATCACGCTGATAAAATGTTTGTATTTCAAGAATGACTTTCTTGTCTAATCCAGATGCACCGTGCATAGTAGGAGGGCTTTCCTTCGGGCATTCATCCAAAAGTCTTCCAAGCACCAATTGCTTTTTTATGAGACAAGCAGGCAATGCGTTACGAGCACGAACTACAGCTTTACCAATGGATTGTGGTGTCACACGGATAGAAGTTTCATTTACAATTGTGTTTGTTTGTTCGTTCTGTTTTTTCTGAAGTCGATGCTTTCTTACTCTTTCCTTGGTTTTTTTTCGATTTTCTATAATAACTTTTGCTTTTTTCGATAAAGGTAGGCGTTCAATTTCTTCTTTTTTCTTCTGTCTAGTTTTACGACAAGCTTGTTTTATTTTTTCTTTATATTCATCATATTTACCGGCCTCCTTCAACTTCTCTCTTCTTCTTCTCATCTTTTCTGCAGCACTGAGTGGCATAGCAACTGCAATTAAAATGATATTGTAAAGGTAACTGTCATTAAACTCATGTAATGCAAGTTACCGGTAACTTGCGTTACAAGCTTGTTAAGCGAATAAAAATAAAACTCTATCCTGTAAAAGCCAACAAATTAGATAATTGTATGCGCCTTAACTATATTTAAGAGAAACATAACAGTTATTTCCCTAAATGTTAGTGTAACACGATAAATTTATAATATTATGATATAATGGTAACTTGCGTTTCAAATAACAGACGGATTTTCAAATGGGTATATCTTTGGATAAGTTTGATCAAATAAGAATAATTTTTTAGTTTTACACACATTATCCAACGTATTATAAAAAATGTAGATGTACTTACCAATTGTTACACTTAAACTTTAGTTAATTTATGATATTTCAATAGCTTTTTCACCTTATTTTCACAAAACTGCTGAGAGTAATGAATGACGCTTCATTTGTCAAGGACACACATAACAAATATGGGAACAAACTTCATAATAGTTTACTACTACCCTCTGACAACAGTTTAACTATGAAAAAAATGTAAAATACCCACAAAAAAAATTTCGCCTTTTTTACTCTCTGCCGTGGATTTACCCGTATGGTAGTTTTTCAGTAGTAATCGTTATTGTTAAGACAGTCTTGTGCGATCATAATGAGCATAACATAACATAACATTTTAATGAGCAGACAGGTGTGGAATTAATTGTGCGGTGTGTACGGTTGAGAGGTTAGACATAAAGTTGCGGAAAATTGCCCATCCTAAAGTACAATAAACTAGTTTCGAAGAACAGTTTATACTTTTTATTTAAAGGGATGTAATACTTTTCTTCAACATTATAGGTAAATACCCATACAGAATTATTTTTAACAATATAAAATAAAATGTCATAAATGGTTATGGTAATATCAAAGGCAGATAGCTCAGGTATTCCTAAACAAAAACATGAGATTAATCTTTCCCAGCTCAGTAACATAAAATATTAACAAACATGCCATTATAGCCTATTAAAGTCCACAGGCCTCCTCCATAGATTGCCTCAAAGGGGGATATTTGCCATAGTTGCCACGCTTAGCAAGTGGGTTGGCAACTGCAGATTTTTATTATTTGTTGTTATTAGGAAGACACTGCTGGCCATCTCCTGATTCATTTCCTTCAGTCGCCTCTTATGACACCCACGGGATTATATAGGGTAGTAGATATTGATACACCGCCACTACTCAGTATGCAAGCATCTTTATGAAATTCTATAACAAGTAGGCTGTTACGTTACGTTTATTTTCTATATTTTTTAAATAAAATATGAAATACACATAACAAAACTCACCCACGCATAAAAATTCTAGTTCTTCGTGGTATTCGAACTCTTTCAAATTCGGAAATGATCCACGACCGTGTTCTGTAAACCAACGGCCTGCAAGCCAGGATATAGGTTTCATGGCTTCGTTAATGTTATTTTCGTAATCCATTTTAAACATTCAAATTAATTAATAATATGAAATAGCTATGCTGCCACACACCACAGAGGACCATACAGGTATGTGTAGTAGAGCTAACTTATTTTAGTTCCTAAAATTATACAAGATCAAATCATATTTCTTATTACTTCTGCGCTAGTACTTCTCATTAGTTGTGTTCGTGATCATATTAGACAAACTAACGAGAATAAAGTAATTACACTAATATTTCTATGCAATTATAACTATTACGTAAATATTCTGATTTGAATTTTAACAAACAATTAGGGGGAAGTCCCCTAGTGGCGGACACCTAAGGTTATTTATAAATAAAACAAAAAATATTTTAAGAAATGTTTATTAAATTATGACTTATATTAGATAACAAAGTTAGAAATCAAATTAAATTAACAAAAATGCAACCTCTGCTAAAAAATAATTAATACTATCAATCAAACTTTGGTAACAAAAAATATAATTTTAAAAAGTGGCACCTAGTACCGGACGAATATTTGTGCCATACACCTAGCACCGGACATTTCAAAATAACCTGCATCGATCACATATGAAGCCATCACCACACTCTGGAATGTCTGCACATGCTTCATGTACCCACCCACGACAGGATGAGCACTGGATCCAGTCTTCGTCAGTGTCTTCTAAGCAAACTACGCAAATTGTTATGTTTGTGTTAGATGTTTCAGTTAATGGTTCTACTTCACTTCCTTTCTTTCCTTTAGGTCTCACGTTTGTCGCTTCTTTTCCCTTGTCTACGCTCTTTCCTTTGGTTTTAATTCGTTTGGTTTGCTTTCCTTTACCTCCCATTGCTACTTTAAACTTAGATTTTATTTCCTTCTTTTTATCTTTCATGTTCTTTTCATTTTCTTTTTCTTCTGCCACTTTTTTGTATGGCGATGAAGTTAAAATTTCACTTCGTTCACTCTTTCTTTTTCGAGCTGCTGTTCGTGTTTTTGCTGCGTCAGGCAACGGTGATAAGTTATGGATTATCTGAACAAGATCGGGAGCAGTACTTGTCGACGGTTTGGGACTTGTGGTTATAGGCTCACTAATAGATTGTTCAGATTCTTTCATTTGCTCTTCTATGATTATGTTTGATATCACGACAGCTTGTTCGTTGTTTAGTGCGTTCGATGAAGTTTCTGTTTGTTCTAGTGGTATATTGGTCATATCTGCAGCCAAATAATCTAGGTCAGAAAATAAATGTCTGTCAAATGGATGGATTCCAGTGCATTTGAATCCAGATACTGCAATATCCAATCGAGCTACTTTTATAAATGCTTCTTTGACCAAACCAGCAATGTCGTAATCCGTTATCCGACATCCAGCATTTGTTCTTATCCACAAGTCGCATCGTTGGCTGTATGCATCTTTAAATGGCTTCATAAATGTCCTGTCCAGAGGCTGGAGCTTGTGCGTAGTGTGTGGTGGTGAACTCATCAAGTGAATATGATTTTCTCTGCAAAAATTGATTACCGCCAATGTCTTGTGGCTGCAATGGCCATCCATTAGAAGCAGCACAGGGTTCTCTTTAGTTGGTTGCGTGTGTTTGACGAATATTCTTAGATATTGCAAAAAAAAGTCACTATTCATCCACCCTTTTGGCTGGGCCACACCGATGCTCTCAGCTGGAGCATTCACCATAAGCCTTTCATTCATTCTTTGTCTAGGAAATACGAAAAATGGGGGTATGTAGTGACCGTTAGCACTCATACAGAACAAAACTGTGATGTTTTTGCCTCTCTCAGCAGAAGTGAGCTTACCTACTTGACGGATGGCTTTCGGAGCGAGAACTTTTTGATGTTTGTGCACGCAACTGACACCAGTTTCATCACAGTTATAAATTCTTGAGGGTGTGAATTTGTACTGTTTCATCAGCTTTTCAAGGTTGTCGTAGAATAGATCCACTTGTGGTTTGTTAAATCCTACGGCGCGCATCATGCTTGTCGATTCCGGTGCTCTCAACGAAATGTCAGAATGCCTTTTCATGAAGTCGTAGTAAAAATGTTTACCAGCACTGCCCTTTTCTTTATTAAATCGATGAGGAATCTTCATGACTTCAGCTAAGTCGTATGCTAATTTTAGAAACTCCTTTTTCATGAGCGGCATGCATCTATTCGATAAATCTTTAATGTGGTCCACCAAGACTTGTTCATACTCTGCTGAGAAGGTGCTAGTGAACCTACCTAACTTTAGTTTCATTGTTACTTCTTCTCCTCGATTTAGGGCCTTTATTTTATCATGTATAGTGCTTTTAGGAATATTGTATTGCATTGCAGCTTGTCTTACACTCAGTTCTTTTGACATAACCTTATCAATAGCAGTTTGTAAGCTCTGTGGCTCCCAGGATCCTTTCTTTTTCTTCTCTTCCATTTTAAATATCTTCTTTCTTCTATACTCTAAAACAAAATTAAATAATTAGAATAAATGACATAAATTCTCATAAGAAATATCAATATGTTTACTGTCCGGCGCTAAGGGACGGCTTAGTGTCCGGTGCTAAGGGACAGACATTTTCGTTCATTAAGTGGTACCTACTAAAATTGTTTAAAAGATCTAATAATATTCTACCATTTTACGGATAACAATCAAGTACTACTTTTATCTTTGCATACCACTCAAATGTAAATGCATAAATATACTAGAATTACTTACATTGATATTTAGGTGACGCCGTGATTTCGCGCCTAAAACAGCAAACGGTTGCTCCCGCCGTGGCCGTGTGCGTCACTGGCGATGCGCGGCGCGTGATCCTGTACCTGTGTGCCCCCCGCGCCCCTTTCACTTGTATTTTGAATCGAACAGATTTATACTCGCTTAAATAGTACGAGTGTCCGGCGCTAGGTGCCGTCCGGCGTTACGGGACTTCCCCCTACACAATTTCTTCTTTTATTTATATTTAATTTTTTGACATTATTTTTTTTAAACTAGCCTTACGCCCCTGGGTTCAAGCCCTTCTGAATTTTTACATTAGATAAAAGATATCAGGGAGTATAGAAGTAAGAAGCATCACTCATATAGGGGAAAAGTTAAAAAAAGTATCCCACTGTATACTGAAAATAGAGGTTCCATAACCTACCATACCACATCCGGGGGTCTGAAAAACTTCGATATGAACTATATATCTGCTGTATAGCTGCTGTAGACGGAGTGAAGTATGTTGAGTTCAAATAAATAAATTAAAAAAATAAATTTTCATGACTAGAGTAGTTAGTAAAATGGCAGTATACAAAACCTCAACTATTTACGTAGTCTAAAATAATTAAGTAATTACAACAAAAAAACTGCTGCGAGAAAACGTGATTTTATTAGTGTGATTTTTTTAAATGATTATTAGTGATTTATATATATATATATAAAATATCACGCCTGTCACCCAGAGGAGTAGGCAGAGACTATGGACTTCCATTTGACACGATCCTGACACACCTCTCTCGCTTCCTCCACATCCATATACCTACGCATACACGCTCGTCGGTTAAAGATACTCTTGATTTGGCTCATTTTTAATATATCGCCAATTTGGTCGATAAACTTTCGCCTAGGGCGTCCCTTCCCTTCCGTCCCTCCCGACGAGCAGACTACAAGGCAATCCCTGGCACTTGCTCCGGCTCATCGTTCTCACCGGCAACACTTGCAAGTGCCTAGTACGGCATGCATTACACACCGGCATATCGTTCGCACCAACGTCACTTGCCCTTAGGCACACAGCATGCATTTCCCACCGGCATTAAGGACGCACCGGCAATCGGACTGCACTATCGACCTCCGGTCTGAGCATGGGGGTGATGTGGCGGCGCTGTCGTCGCGACACAAGCGAAATACATCGAAGCCTAAATCGCACTAACAAAGTTCCGAAGTTAAAGCAGCATAATAGAATAGCTCCGAACTTTCACTCGGAGCGTTGGCCGCTCCCCGGGCAACACCTTGCCCGGCGGGAGATCTCCCCTTTTCCTTCCACCCGCTACAGCCCCATTCACTCTATTTCCTGCATTCACTCGTCGTTCTATATCCTTATCATGTCTACCATCTCTGCTAAATACACATCCCAAATACACAAACTCATCTACTTGCTCGACCAACTCCCCTTCTATTCTTATTTCACACATCGTTTTACTTTCTTCTCTTTCAAAAACGATAACTTTCGTCTTACTTGCGTTCACTTTCATTCCCTTTTCTTTTAATGTCCTGTTCATTAATGTAACCATCATTTGCAACTCGGCCGCCGACAAATGAAAGTTCCCATTTATCTATAAAAGGCTTAACCGATTTCAGTACGATTTTTACAAAGGGTTTGTGACTCATCAGCTATGGTTCTTAGGTAAATGTTATGTTCGTAACTCACCAGGGGGCGCAGCAATGAACATTCAGGGTGCAAACGAATGTTCCCATTTATCTCGAAAACGGTTTGACCGATTTCGATGCGGTTTTGTGTAAAGAGTTTGTGACTCATTGGGATGGTTCTTAGATTATTCTATCTAAAGATATTATGGTGTTAGCTCGCCAAGGGGCGCTGCAATAAAAAAAATCACTCGTTAAAATGAATTGTAGCGATTTTTTTCCTCGAGACAGCTAGACCGATTTAGATGCAGTTATCGATATCTTATAACATACTAGCGATCTGCCCTGGCTTCGCACGGGTGAATCTCTCTCTTTCTGGATTTCGTTAACAACGCCACCTACCGGGTTTATTGTGAATCTAAACGGTCAAATCAATTTAATTACACACACAAAATTTCATCATAATCGGTCCAGCCGTTTAGGTAGAGTTCAGTTACATACACACGAACATATTATATAAATATATATAATTATACATTAATACCTTTCTCTTAACTCATTCTGTCTATTGATAAAAACCCCATCGAAATCTGTAACGTAGTTTAAAAATGTAAGCGTTCAGGCGGCGGGAAGCGACATTTAAAAGTTTAATTTTTTTAACACCCCGCACTGCTCTTTGTGGGTGGAAGTTCATAAACCCCGTTCTTGGTAAA